AACTTGGTGGCGGGCCATAGCCACCTGTGGGTGCATAGATAGCGTCAAAGAGGGGATGCAAAGCTAGGAAGTTATCCACGATGCCACAGCTTGCAGCCCACAGCCGAACAATGGGTTTGCTGCACTGTAATACACACTAGCTCATGGTAGGTCTGTCCTTAATGGTGGGTGGGGGACGACATCGTCAGCGTCAAGCCCACCCATGTTCTTGAAGGTCTGGACCGTGGTGAGCATGTCGATCTGATTCGAGCCATCCAATGGATATCCTCGCCAGAAAACACTACATAACAGAATGATTATGTGCTTCACTTACTGGAATCTGCTGTTCCCTCACCCATCTCTTGTCTCATCCCCATTCCCCCCTTTTCTCACCGATTAATCCAAACTCCTTCCTTTTATCTCCTGTCTTTGCAGCATCCCTGGCTCAACCTTTTGTCTTGCTTATCATATTTGTGTCTATTCTTCTAATCTTTCGATCATTTTCTACTCATCTTCAGTACCCTCCGCTCTGTTATTCACCACTGTTGTTTCCACTCCCACCTTATCTTAACCTGTTCCCCACGTTCCGTGGATTTCTTTCGTCCTTCTTCTCACTTTGTCTTCGGCCCTCCCTCGCCTATTACAGTATTACTCGCATCGAATATGACCTGAACTCTGCCGCCGGCCAATCGGCCCGCTCCCCATGAGCAATGCACACCCTCCTCTCGTTCCCTTGACAACATGAATGATGCTCGATTTGCAGTCGACCACCGCTCTTTCGTAGAAACACCACTCTTTTCCAACTCATTTCAGCACCATGGTTTGCATTGTAACTCTTCAGCCATTTTACAACTCACCGCGGAGAAGCTCATGAACGACAACAACCATGTAAGTGGCTGCTGTCACTAACCGATGTAGACCCTCCCGTCACCTCACGCCTGTGACACAGCCCTAGTCATCTCCAATGATCGGGCATGAGAAGCGCGATATTCCTACCGGGACATGCATGATATGAAGAAGAAAATAAGTCAAACTGGTATGACTTTGAGGGTGTTGCTGTTAGGGTGACAGCACTCACAAATTGTAGATCCTCTCGGAACGAGCTACACGTAGCATTATACTACCAGACATGGATTTGGAGGATATATGGAGGGGAGGATTTGTGTTTGCAGGTTAGGTTCAACATGGATATTGACCTTTTGTAAATAGGGACTCCGCTGATCCCTCATGAAAGCGAATCCTGTGTAGTCATCAAGGCTCCAAGACAAGCAATGAGAAGATCTTTCTAAACCAGTGTTCGCACCTAAAGAACTGCAATGCAAACACCTTGATCCACCAAAATTCAACAAAATTACAAGAGTTACAACTATAAGTGCTACATAGTGGAAATAGATTTATTTTGACTTGGAAAATGCTTGGTAAGGATCTTTTATTGTGATTCGTTTCATAACATATAGCACAATGTACAAGTGAAATTTTAACATATCCCCCATCTAATATGAACTCTTGTGTAATCACTACCCTATTTGGAAAAAGCACTTAGATCCTGAGAATCTCTTATGGATGACGAATTACCCGAGTTTGATGTTATCAAATGGGAAACCAAAGGGGACTTCTGGCTAAATCTGTCTTTAACAGTTATACACACAGTCAAGGCAGAATTGCTCAAGGGGCCACGATGTCTTGAATGCTCCGTGATTTCCTATGTGACGAGTCTTGATAATCCGATCCCTAAAATAACGACCTAAAACTTCAGTCATAGTGGATTGAATTATGTAGCCTTTTTTGTCCCAAACTTGAGGCTCTGAACCCTCTGAATCAACTTCTCTGGCCCCTGAGGCTCAGACATTTCCTGTTTGGCGAGCTTATAAACCTCCGTGAACCATTCATGGCGTTTCTTTGTCATTCCTTCTGGCAACATCGGCATTTGATTCATTGTTGCTTCGGCACATCGTTGTAAATGCAAATCGTCCCCCTAGGTTTCGATACTGCATCGTAATGCGTCCCGAGCACGTGTCTTGTCTTCGTCGGTTGAATTCTCTGCGTCCACAACTGCCAGAAATTTTTGCATACATTCTTCTACGTCCTCGGGCAGTAAACCAGGAACTGAACTTTCAGAGTTAGCATATCCTTGGAGAATCATGAGCAGTCGTTGTCCATATAGAATACTGACCTGAGGATTTCGGTTCTGGTTTATTGGCGGGAGTAGGCTTTTCGCTGTTCTTTTGATCCATGTCGACGGTCGACGCGCGAGGAGATGTTTTATAAGGTTAAGGCTTTCGAAAGGTGGTGCAAGGTATGCACGTCCCGGTGACAGTTTGCGGGCAAAGGGGAATATTATAGTATGGGAAGGTGTTCAGTGTTAAGCCTCCAGTAGACTTGTCTACGTAGGTGATAAGTTGAAAGGAGGAGAAGCGATTCTTTTCCCTCCATTGAATTTATAAATTAAATATTAGATTGCCAATGCCTGGCAGTGATTCACTGTAGCTTCAAAGGCCGGCTACGTGCCAAAGAGTCCTGGATATTTATGTATACAAGGAGCATTTAAATTACAAATTTCGTTTACAAATATCATTCCTCAAATATTCATCTCTAATAACCCTGCTTTTCGTTTTCCATCGATGTCACTACCTTCTCCCAGTGTCCCAGAACATTTACTGACCGTGATACTAGTGTAGATACCTAAACTGAGACAACAGCCACTTTAGTATCCTTAAAGTCATCCCCAATCGAGTTTACACCTGGGTCTGTCCTGAATCTTGCCTGTCCATCGCCGACATGAGCGTTGCTCCCGTGTAGCACATGAGAGAACCAATCGTTGACGAAATGATGGCATTCATGGAAACAGGGTCCTACCAGCTAGATAGGGTAATTAAGATTATACTATTCCTCAAAAATGAGAGACCGCCATAGAGGTCGTGGCTGAACTGACTATCTGAGTCATCGACGTGGATCAGGAGGAAGCTGAGATTCTTTCGGAGGTTCGCGAGTTCCAAGAGCTTGGAGTCAAGGGGTGGATTGGTGATGGTGCAGTTGGGGTGGGCCAGGGTTCGGACAACAAGAAACCTCGAGACTCTGAACAACATAAAGACTTAGGAAGGATCTCTATCCTAAGTCATACAAAGATTTAGGTAAGTTTAGGATAATAAAGTGGATCCTTAGACTTGTTATTTCTAAGTTATACTAAACTTACCTAAGGCTTCTTGCCGCTGCCCTGATGCGTGAAGGAATCATCAAGCTTGACATTTCGCAATCAGCCGTCATTGTCAGAGAATTAAAGATATAGAACATCAAGAACACCATCTAACAGCACATAGTCAACACTATCAGATTTAGATGTGCCTGTGCGCCTATCTCGTCTGTTATTCTTACAGACTTGTATCATCTTCTCAACTAAGGTATTGTAACTCCCAAGCCAAAGTGGAGGGCGTCGCCTAAACGAGAAGCAATCTGCTCGAACCTCATGGAGACCCCCTCAAGATTCTTCACATACAAAAAGGCATTATTCAAGTATAAGGAGGTTGCAAATATATTGCACCTAAGAAAGTTCTTGTTCGAGGCGAAACGCGGAAGGGGCCCGGACATAGCTAAAGCACTCTTTACTAGCAAACTGATCGCAGGTAGGAAATGGTCTTTCTGTCCCCAGTGAACTTCCTGCTCTTGTCTTGCTATGGCCGAAGTCATAGAGCATTAGGTAATGGCAAAAGCGGGGAGGTTATCCGGGTGTTCAATGGCTATGCCATCATGGCAGGCTCCTTGCCTGGCTCCTAGAGAATGCCGAAGTCAATGGCATTTCTGATGTGTGGAAAAAGAACATTACGGCCAAGACCGAAACGATCCCTCACGATGACATCGATATAATTGGCCGCGAGAAGACTTGAATTGCTAATCCTATGATTGATGAAGCACATAGTCTATACAGGAGGCGAGATAAATTAGCAACATAATCCAAAATTTAAAAGGACTAAGGTAAACTAAGAGCAATATAGTAGGTCTTAAGACTTATTGCCTGCCTATAATATGTGTTAAACTTGTTTGAATCTTTTTTCCATTTCAGGTAGAGGTCTTATGGCCGCGCCTTGCTCCTTAAGAATAATCAGTCGCCCGATATTCACCTGTTTCTTCAGCCCCCAATTTGATCTTCGTCGAGATTCCTAGGGCCAAGCGAAGGAGCTCGAATTCGAGATAGAGATTGCGGCCAGTCGATTTGGCAGGCTGTTGCAAACACGGTCTCTCAGGGAGGATCAATCCCGCTCGCCTGTGTATCATTTTCCGCGGCCAGAAATCTGGCAATGAAGGATGCAAACCTGAATCAACTCTGGTAGCAGTAGTTAAGAAGACCTTACCACCAATGAAAACCAACTTTATGTTCACTCGAGTAATATTCATCGCTGCATCCTGGTAACAGTTGAAAGCTCGAGGACTCCGTCTAACCTCTCTTGCGTATCTCCGTGGCGAATTTCTTCGAACTTTTGCGTTGAGAGCGACTCTCTCCATCTCAAGGATGACCTTGTAGCACTGTTGTGAATTTCTGGGTTATTACACTACAAAATGAGCTCCTCGTAGAGCTCAGGTGGTATTTTCAGAGCTCTAAAGCGAGCAATAGTAAGGTTCATCAGGGTGATAATTATTGCAATCAAAGGATGGCCCCGATCTGGAAACCTGGGAGTCTGAGAACGATGTTTGAAGCTTTTTTTGTTAGAGAGATAAGCCACTCGCTCGTGGATGCTAAAGAAGTGAAAATCAGAGCCGCCTAAGGTGAGATGTGGTGAAGAGAGAAATTACGAACGACTTTCTGGTTATCAGCTCTTGGCAATGATTCACTGTCACTGCTATCCCTGGACAGTGATTTAAGCTGGCCCGTAAGATGTTTATAGAGGATCTTTGCTCACTTCCTCTCTCTTCTTTCTTTCACCTCTACATCTCTAGGCTAAGAGATCTATCACTAGGCAGTTGCCTGGTATTCAATCCACTTCTCTCCTCCCAAAACAGAGCATTTCCCTTAACAAAACAAACTGGACATGAAACCGCCTGGTTTTACTACACGTAAGTACTGACACACGGCTTCTCTTTCATGACTTGACTGACTTTCAAAAGGCCAGCCTAGCTTTACAATTGACAACATTGCCCTAACCACACCGATTTTAAATGTCAGCATAGTTTGTCATTCCTATCTGTGTTAACTACCTAATCAAATGCAAAGTCGCACTGGCCGACCCAGCTACTATCACTCCCGCTGAGTGGGAGTCCCTCAAGAATGATGAGACCGCCGCAGAGGCCGGGCCAGTCAATCCAGCGTCTTCGTTACTGTCTTTATGTATGGCATTGGCAGTATACGATGAGACTGACTCGACCGATGACTTGCAGGGACTCCTCACGGCTTCACAATTTGCAAGAGGCTCTTCGAAGCCACGTACCCTTCTGGATGAGAAAAAAGAGAGCTACTGGGAGTGTATCCGACAGCCTTGGGCAAGGCGAAATGGAACAGCAAGACGCCCACAGACCGCTCGAGGCCTGTGGAGTGGGTTATTTGCTGTAAAGTTTCTTGGTGTCTCCTGATCTAACTATCGGTAGGAGTTATGGCCACAAGCAATGAACTTCCTCGCCGAGGGAATCTTAGCTGCGGAAGCCATCGCCCAACTCGACAAGGGCCTATGCATAGGAGCACTCTGGCATCTCACCAAAGTCTTGCCTGATACCTTATATCGCCCATTGATTTTCCAGTTTTGTGAGATGGCGTCCAAGATGACATTCGATGATGACAGATCGTTACAATCAGCCATCCTCGACGCGTGTGAGATGACCGAAGGAATGATGGGCAGTCCATTCCCCACGGTTAATAAAGTAGCGTCATTAAGTGCAGATACAACACTCTACCTTGGGTCTGCTAGAGTTTCATACGACGATCTCATTCTAGAGTCACTCGATAACACGATTGAAAGCCTTCGTCTCGATTGTACAACGAACGAACAGGACACACCAATGAGTTCCGCCACACTGATTGCCGACCCTGCAGAGACATCGGATGTTCACATGGCAAGCGAGTTGGTGAAACTCAAGATTCAAGCAGACACGATGAAAATGATAGCGCCATTGCGTTCCTGGCGTGACTACAGGACAAAGAGATCACACTGCTATCATAGACAAGTTCACTCAAGGGACTTCCGACGCCATGTGATTGCTGAAGCACCGGCCTGGAAGAAAGGAGAGTCTAGTGGGCGTTGGGAAATTTGGCATTGCGGCATTGTACAGGTCGGTATGTACGCTTGCCAAACGGCATCAACTGTGTTTGTTTTGGTGGATATGCATGTTTCGGAGTCTGGTCAGGCTGAGAAACGGTGGTTATGTTTAATGGAGTTTTGCTGTTTGTATTATATATGGCTGTTTCCTCATCTCTCAACACACGTTGCTGGTCACTGGCTGTGTGTGCCTTATGACAAGACTGCCTTCTCCTGCCCGCGCTGCTGGTTGCTGACTATTCTGAAATCATCCGTTGATGCTCATATATAATTTTCTGTGGTTGGCTGCCAGACCAATCTTCTTTCGAGGCCGGATTCTCTCTTCTGTTTGCCTCGTCAAGGTGTGCAGGCTTCACCCACGTTACCCGACTTTTGTCAATTGTGTCCAAATAGGCCTCGCGACTGTGGTCGGAAATGCGTTTGTTGACCTGGATAGGCAGTTTGTTTTCTGATGCCCAGAAAAGGGCGTCAACTTCAGGGTCCTGAGGAAACCAGCGCAGGCCCCGGCGTGTGACCAATAGAGAATGGCCATTATGCTGTGTCGACGCAAGGCGTACAATAAGCTCGCAACCTTACTTGTACTTGGAAATAAGGTCTTTGAGGCCCTGTTGACAAGATATTTGGTATCAAATCTACCACCAACTTGGTTGTGCGGTGGAATGATGCTTGTGTGATGGAGTCCGCACAGCCCCAAGCAATTTATCAGATACAATTACCAATCGCATATTCATTCATTCATCCTGGAGATTTCGTGTCCGCCAGAAACCAGAGGTCTCTATCCTAAGATATCTATCCTAAGTTATCCTAAGTTATCCTAAGTTAGCCTAAGTTATCCTAAGTTATAGAGCCTAAAATATCCTAAGATGGACTAAATCTACCCAAATCTATCTGTATTATAGGATCAAGGTCATAGCCAAGGCAGCGTAGTGTAGCTAATTCCTCCAAGCGACTCAGATGGATCTCGGACGGGAAATGGACATACCGTGACGCCTTCCTTCGGGCGCAAGCCTGGCGCCAGGTTGGCACTATTACTTGTAGGGGCATGTCATGTCAAATACCCAGCATCAATTTACAGACAATAGTATATACTTACAAGGCTATCAGGTAACCTACGTCATGTATTCGTAGCTGTTCATCTATATAAAAGAGTCGTCATTGTAATTACAGCTTGGATTCATCTACCTCATCGTCCTCACCAAAGATGTTGAGAAATGAGATGTGAACTTCATCAGTCAAGTCGCTTGCCTGTAGACTGCGTCCCTTCTTAGAAAAGGCTAGACGAGAACATTCCTAGGAGACCATTAGTATGATGCTTGGGGACCATAGAACTCCGGGGTTCGCCTCTGGGGGGGGGGGCTTAAGGGAGAATGGCAACCAGAGGTGACCTCTATGGTTTTGAGTCAGAAAAGGGGCAAAAGACATACTCTTGTGATAGCAGAGCCACCGAAGGCTGCGAGCCCAACCAACTCGTGCTCGCCGATGGGGTCCTTGCCAACATCCCACAGACGGTCCAGATAGGCTCTCCTCCATCCCAGAAATGTGGCAATTGAACCAGTCAGAGTATCCCCCTGTCCACCACTCCTCTTCTTACCACCTTCAAGGTCCACAGTCAATGTCGTTTCGCCGTTGGAGATGTAATCCTTGGCACCCTTCTGAACCACTGTCACACCCTTAAGAGTTTTGGCCAGAGCCTCAACACGCGCGGTCTCAGGCGCATTGTCGTCGACCTTGACTTTCAGTGCGTCGCACAATTTGCCGAACTCGACAACGTTGGGTGTCAGCACAGCACCGTCGTAACCGCTCACCAGCTCGGGCTGCGTGTGCACGATCACCAGAGCATCAGCATCCAATACAATGGGAAGCTCTTGCTCGCGAGCGGCGCGGATAACGCGGGCGACAGTAGCATGCATCAGAGGATCACGACCCAGACCAGGTCCGATGACGAGGACATGGAGGCGAGGCAGTAGGTCTTTGATTTGAGCCGCAATGTGGTCAGCATTGGACTCGGGGTCCTTGGAAGCATTCCAAGCCGCAGGCTCGTGTTCCTTTTTGGCGTTTTCACTCTGTCGCATCAGCGGATGGACCATGAGGTTTGGCGAATACGACTTGATGACAGTTGCTGCTGCTGGTGTGCAAATGACATGCGACTATATGCGAGAGCCATGGTTAGCCAGAACATACCATCGAGAAAAGTACGAGAGTATAAATTACCAGATCAGAACCCAGCCTTGCACTCGCCATGGCCGAGAAGTAGGGTGCGCCTGTATAATTTTCACTGCCACCGATGACGGCGACTCTACCCAACTGGCCTGTTCTTGCGTCAGTCTTCAATCACACAGAATCAGTGCTTTTAGAAACAAACCCTTGTGAAACTTCTCTAGCATTGGCGGAATCATGCGCCGCACCTTGGAAAGGACCTCTTTTGTAGCAGAAGACATTTTTGGGCCAGATTCTTGAGACGACATCGCAAGAGACTTATGTGATGAGAGAATGAAAGTTGAGGCTGAGACGTTGCAAGGAATTGAGATGTATCCGTGAGTGCCGGGGTGTTAATTACCTAGATCAGATCAGTTTTACGGACAAGGTCCAATGCGTTGATTGAAGAAGAAAAATATGTGAAATGACGCAGCTTTTAATAAAGAATCGCAAGAAAATCGGCTAGATTTTATTTGACCGGATTCCAATCGATCGGAATCGATGAGGTATTGCCAGCGTGGTGTTACAACATATGATGTCACTTTTGTAAGCACCAAACTCCAGGTGCTTTGTTCAATAAAAATTATCCCAGGCAAATACCAAATCATTGACGGGTCCTAAGTTTGTGAGAGGATTGAATTAGACTATCTACAAGACGTACGTAAGTGAGGTATCCATGGCTTCATTCAACCGCGGTTATAGCGGTGGCCTGAATCCGAAGCCCTTCATCAAAGACAGTGACAAAGAAGAACTTGGGATTTTTAGAGAAGCACTATTATTTGAATCCGCTATTCCTAGCTCACTCGTCGATAGTTCATCCTCCGAATCCCTAACGAACAAAGTGAGCCTTGATAGAAAGATAAATAGACTTGGGTGAATTCAGGCTATTTTAGGATATCTTGGGATGAGATCTCATTGCTTTGCATTAATACTAGCTGTAGAACAGGTGCATAAACTAGTATTAGTATCGATCAGAGGCTGGTGTTATAATGAACATGGGTCTCTTATAGTCGGGAAACATCTCTCGAACATCTTCGAGCAGCCGATCTACCTTGACGTCGGATTCTTCTATATCGGGCCATTTCACTACAATGTTCCAAACGTCACCACTTTATAAATCTTGAAGCTCAGCCACGAATTTGACACTAAATATGGCAGAGTATTCCGTCCTTGAAGCGGAGGGCCAAAGTCAACCAAGGGCTGTCGACTAGGCATCATGTGCCAGGTGGAATAGTGCATTGGCACCCGAGGGCATATGTTGAGGTTCAGATAGAGAAGCGGCAATGGGGTGTATCAAATCAAGGAGTAACTCAATCTTACAAATTGCCTGGGAGCGAAAATGAAGAGGTTTGTGTGCTAAAATGGATTTGCGCTTAGATGGATGGCGAGTTGGCAAGAACAGGTGTGCAGCAACTGCTCGGTAACTGACAGAAACCACCAGATAACATACACCTCTATTTATGAAAACAGTGGGCCTTCATATGAGAGCTTTCGCAAAAGGAATTGAGATAGATCTAGATAAACACCTGAGCAGCATATCAGTTTTGGAAAGTTACGATCTCTTGAGCGGCCTATCCATGGATGGGCAAAGCTGTTTGCCGAAATGACACAACGTGCTTCTTATGTAGCGCTTATTGTTCTTCCATAGGCTGTCAGCAGTAAGTTATATGAGTTAATGTCTTTCTCAAAACATGGTCAGCAAACTTGTTACATATCAGGGGTACGTAGATATCTATAAAGAAGTTCAGTGTTCGTTCGGTTTCCTTCTTACGTTAGTCAATCAGGACTTCAGATCATCAAATGTAAAACTCATGAGAACTGAACTTTTAAGAGTTTCCTAAAGCAAAACTAAGGCCGTGTTTTGTCTTGCGCAAACAGTACGTTGGTGCAGCAGGTATCCGCTCGAGGGCGAATCACAATAAGACGGGTGCTTGAGCGACAGACGGCTGGCAGCTGTTGGCGGTCCTCGCAGCCAGGCGGAAACTGTTTATGATTCAATTTCAGCGCCCTGGTTCAGTTCTGTTCTGAGTTCCGTGCGACTCGGACCTCACACAAAAGTGTTATTGTGCATCCTTGGAGTGTATCTTTCGCACAGTTGGTGCGCTCTTACATGCGCTCACTTTCTTTCAGCTGGAAAGTGCCCTGCCAACGCTCGCGAAGCATCTTATTCCATCCCTTCTGGATTTCTCTCTCTTTGCATTACTAACTAATCGTCATGGAGCATGCCTCCATAGATGGGCGGCGAAGGAACAAAACATCAGTCCCGATTCTTTATCCGTCGCGCAAGTCAGAGACAGATGCAGCACCCTCCCTTCGACCAGCCTCACCTCCCAAAAGTAACCCATGGGCTCCAGCCAAAAAGCCTCGGGTCAATACTACGGCGGGAATGTTTCCGCCTCTGCCTAAGCCTCGAGCACCATGGTCGCCGGTCAAAACACCTACTGCCAGTATGTCGAGGGCCTCCTCGCTTTCTCCAGGCAAAAAGAGGTCCATAGACGATGCAGTATCGGGTGCGTTCGGACCTGGATCAACGTCCCCTTCCTCCATCACGTCTTCCTCATCTCGCCATATTTTTGAGGCTGCGGCACCACGAGCAACCTCAAAGTGAGCTGATCCTTCTCTGTGTCCGCCTAGTACCATCAACTGACCGCCTTTAGTCTATGGAATTGTCCTTTCGGTGCTGATGTGGTGGTACGGTCGGGGAACTTAAGCTTTCGAGTCCATCGCAACATTGTGGTACCTCAGTCAGGCTGGTTCCGCGATAACCTGCCACCACCCAATGTGGTAAGTGTCTTCTCTTCCGTTAAACTTGTCATTATTCGAACTGAAAACTTCAGGATGGCTCACCAGTTATGGTGACTGTGGGCTTCGCTCCTGAAACTGTCGCTCATTGTTTGCGTTTCATCTATACCGATAGTACGTGCTGGACTCTATCCGAATTAAGAGAAACAGGAGCTGATACGTGTGACAGAAGTTGAGATTTGCGACATCGATACCCAAAAGCCCTGGAACGCTGCGCATATTCCTTGTTGTGTCTTGGCGTATACCACTGCCGTCTACTTGCGTATGGCGAAAATGACATGCCATCTTCTTCGCGTGATCGAGAATACTTCCAGTGAACTTGGAGCTCTAATACGTAGAGACCATATCTCTCAAAAGCTGGACTGTTCCCAATGGGTCCAATTCTCATGGCACTATCAGAGGGCCTTGGATATCATCGTTCGGGGACAACCTCAGAAGCTGATGGTGCCTATGAGGCTAGCTATGGCAAGCATCCTCGATGCTGTGCTCTTCTGGGTGGTACGGCATCCTCTTTTTGCCAGCGACCTGAAAACGCCGTGGCAAAAGATTCTGGAAAATAGTATGCATGATATTGCCGAGTATAAGCAGCTGTGCCGAAGCCCCAATCTATTCAACAGTCCGTTGCCAGATGAGTTGGCATTGCTGGAGCTATTCGAACAAACGAAAGCAGAAAAGGAGTCACCAGAACCTTCAAAGTCAGTGGGAACACAAACAGAAGACGATGGTTCTGACCAAGGATTGAAGGGCCAGAGAAGCGATTATTCTTTCACTCAGCGCGAGAGACGAGGATCGCTGTAACTTTCGACTTATTTGCTTGCTTGAGGACTTGAGAATGAGGCAACATGGTATGTTCTTTTTCTTAGACTTCTGGCTACGACGAACTATAATGTAGACAAGAGAGTTAGAGCCATTCATGACCAGTGGCGGATATTAGCTATTTGTATTCGAGAAAATAAACTAAAGGCTGGTGTTGGCAACGAGTTCCCAGATAGAGTAAGAAACTCTATTAGGTCGGCCCCTGGTTGTATTCCATTCCAGGTAGACCCAGGCTATTAGCTCAGAATTCAGCTACGCAACGAGACTCGAAAGTACTTTGCAGCTGCTGTAACTTAGCAGATAGCCAAGGACATCAGAATCCCAAGACCAGAAAGAGTATTCAGATGGAACTTGCAGCTGCGCGTGCGTTTTAACGCTACCGATACGTTGGATAGAGGAGAGCGAATGCACTGGCAGCAACTTCTCCTAGGTACTTAGACAGAGAAGACTGCATCGTCGAACGCTTCAGTGATCCTTTTGGTGAATGTTACTCGGCCCTCGCCTCGGGAAGTAGGAAAATATAAGACTTGAGACGATGATGCTATAATAAACTTAGTAAAGAGTCTCTTAAGTTTAGAATAAATTGTCTATGTCTTTTCATCACTGAGGATAAAGGTCCTAAGTTTCCTTGTCCCCCTTTCCCGCCTTATCCTTCTGCGAGCATACTGGAGATCATCCTATGGTATTAGATATAGGCTTGCTTGATATTTGTTGACTGTCTTTTTCTATCAGTGTCTCGGTCGCCAACAAAGAAGTCAGAATACCAGTAATACTTCTTGTAATTCCCGTGTGTTTTAACTAAAGCCAGTGGTTTCAAGCTACGGACGCCATCCTGTCAATTTTGGAGAACAAAGAATCTTCTTCTTTCAGCATTGTCTCCGAGGAATTGCACAATGAAACCAGACTCCATTGGGCCCAGATGTACATGTCTCGTGCTGTCGAAAGATTGAACATTCATTCAAGGAGCATGAGTTTTCAGATATTCTTTGACAGGAGTTTATCCTCATTCTCAGCTAAGCATTCGCCATCGACCAGGACAAGTCCCGTGCTATCACTATGAGTTGGCAACCACATAGTAGAAACTCTCGGTGACTCTTACGTGGATGTTTTTCCAAGGTCCCAATCATTCTCTTGTTCAGTAAAGTCGGCTTCGGTCAATCCTGTGTCCACAGCCGCGAAATTGAGTCCGGCTCTTGAAGACTGTGGTTGTTGGGTGGTTTCACTCGTTTGATCTTGAACCCGGCCCCTCCTGGCTTTACCGTGTTGTAGGCCAACCCCGAGTGACTAAATGCGCAGTGTTGTGTCTCGTCATCTCTGATCAAGATCAAAAAACAAGGTACGTTGAAGTCGATAACGTGTAGCTGGGTGGCGTGTTTCCTGTTTGAGTCGCCCAACTTGATGTGTGTGAATAACAAGATGTGGTCGGGAGTCGAAAAAGGAGAAACGTCTTAGTGGTATTGTTAGAGGATACCGCCGAGAACAATAAGCAACTTAGAGACAATAGGCCAGGAGAGTGGCCTGTGTGAATGCCGGAGGAGTGGGGTTGAAGAAGAAGAATGAATAAAGGAGACATTCAGGATCACAATGGATCCTATTCATCAGAAATAAAATGGAATCAAGGCGGCAACGATGATTCACAACACGTGACTCGTAGATGGGATGAACACTATTGCACTTGATTATATAAAGCGAGGCCTCTCTATCATTCCAAACTTGGATTGTTTGCCAGGCGATTGTATCAACCTAAGGTATCTTCGAGCTGTCGGCGAACGACAGAACCCCGCCTGCCAGCCTGTGTCCAGAGAATACATAACACTTCAGCTCTCTACCATCGAGAAAATACCCCCAGTACGGATCCTGGCCTTCAAATCATCTACTCGCCTTGTGTCATCTCATCCATCGAAAATACCCCCCAGTGTGGATCGCGGACTTCGAAATATCTACTCGCCTTATATCGTCTCATCCATCGACAATGCCCTACGTATATAAGCCATGGATATTGAAAGGCTTGGGCGTCGAATCATGGGAACAAGTCCGGATGATGGGTGAGGAGGGCCTTCGCGAAGCCAGGCGTGTCCGCGAAGAAGAGCGTCTCCGTCAAAAGTCGGAAGTCAGTATTATTACAAAAGTCCAGACTGGATGGCAGTCCAATGATATTGAACCCCCTTTACTAATACGGTTACCAGGAGAAACTCAAAGCTGAGAAGGAGAATTCCAGCAAACAACATGTCTCATCTGAAACACCTGTCAAGGTAAGAGCGGTTCTTTTGGGTATAGGATATTAGCTGACCAGATGGATCCTTCCAGGAACCGAGAGAGAAGCACGATGAACTTTTAGGCCAGGAAAGCGGCAAGCCTGAGCACGAAGCGAATAGTGCACACAGTACCAATCACGGAAAGAAGGAATCGACGGATGATGAGCTATAAATACTTAGTTGTTTCCCTTAGCGCAAGATTCTTCAAAGTAGAATGAAATTCGGAACACTGTTATGCAAGACTAAGATAATACGCTGATTGTTTAAGTAGCCTCGGGGAGCAAGAAAATATCGGACCTTGATCTGGGGTTTCAAAATAAAGTCAGTAAAAGGTATCCTCAACTGATCCTAAATTTATGCTAAGTTATCTCAATCTTTTTATCCTTTAGGATCGAGGTCCCGAGTTTTCCTTTCCCTCTAAACGGGAGTTTGATGTCGTGCTAGTCACGTGGTGTCGCGTGAGTTTCTACTTTAAGGTGCTCACTCACCTTAAGTATAAGGTAGGTACTTTACACGTCGTTCAGTTGCGGATTCCCTGTGCGTCATTCACTTTCCGTCTTGGGTTCCAGGTACCTGGTAAACAACTATTACCAGGGCGGCTCAGAACTGAAATACGTGCTCAGATCTGTAAACAATCCATTTATTACCCTTGACTTCGCAGCAACATGGTTGCTGCGTACCAGCGGCTGAATGAAAAGAAATCGCAACCGAATCCCCATGTTGTCTTCATCAAGCCCTTAGAGGGCCCAGACAAACAGATAGCTCAGGACTTTCTTGAGAGAATAGCAGCACAATGTCGTGAGTTAACTGATTTCCTTGAATAGTAACACGGTATTGATATTTGCCCTTCTCAGGTCCCATTATGCGAGAAAACTACCTGTACGTCACTTCGCTGGAGGAGTACGAGCCAAATCGTGAATTCGTTGGGCGGAATTTTAATGCAGGCGAAGTCGTTCAACTCGTTCTGAAGTCGCCCAGGACTGGCCGCTGGCTACCATTCAACTATGTGCAGATGGTCATGATGCATGAGCTGGCACACTGCAAGCAAATGAATCATTCAAGAGCATTCTGGACCGTTCGAAACTTGTATGCTTCTCAGATGCACGAGCTTTGGTCTAAAAACTATACCGGAGACGGCCTCTGGGGAAGGGGTGCCAACCTTGCCACTGGTGAATGGGAAAAGAATAGCGTGCTTGCTGATGAGGTTCTACCAGAGCACCTTTGCGGAGGTACCTACAGATCACGTCGCAAGAGACGGGTCAAGCCACAACTATCCTACCAAGAACGAAAGGAAAGACGAATCTTAAAGAAGTTTGGCAAGAATGGGGTCGCTCTCGGTGCCGATGAAGAAGAAAAGGTCAAGTTGGAGAGCGGCAGGAAGATCCAAGCAAAGCCTCGGGTTGCTGGAAGCATGAGAGGACGTGAGCTTCGGGCGGCGGCGGCACTCGCTCGCTTCGGAAAGCAAAAGACAGAGCCGGAGACTCTCAAAGATGATGACGAGACAGATTCCGGGAGTGGCAGCGAATTTGAGGCTGAGCCTGGAGAAGATTCCAAGGATGCTGTCGATGTGAATGGTAAGAAACTGCTTGATGGACAAGGCCGCGGCATGGTCAAAGTCTGTGAAGATGAGGATAGAGATGATTCTGGGGCCAAAGATGAGAGTCGGGAACTTCAAAGAATGATTAGGAGCATCAAGAGAGAGTCGCCTGAGCCACAAGTTACAAAACCGCCTCAAGGACCTAAGTCTCGGTTTGCCAACAGCCAGTCACCACCAACGGCGGTACTTGCTAGTGCTATCGAGCCAGAACCTACCAGAGGATCTAAACAGTCTAAGATGCCAACGGTATCGACAAATAATGCAAAAGCCACGGAAGAGCCCCCAGTTTCGCCCCCTCGAGGTTCAGCTCAGCCAGTCGACTCGACAAGCAAACAGGCACGCTCCGGCGGAACTTGCTCCGTGTGCTCTTACGACAATCCTAATTTAGTACTTACATGTGCAATGTGTGCCAATGTATTGGATTCGTCAACAACAGGCTCGTGGCAGTGTTCAAGTGACGCGTGTAAAACTACACACTATCGCAATGCTGGCGATTGTGGGGTTTGTGGGTTGTGTGGTCAAAGAAGAGCAGAGGCTGTGTAAAATCCCAGTGAAACAAGCCCTACTTGTTGCGAGGAAAGATTGTATTTGACGACGCAACTATTGAGCAGAAAGCATGGCGACTCCTTTTGGCGATTCTGAGATGCAAATGCGTCGAATGATTTATGTAGTAACGCCGCAGCACTATAGCAGTCTGAAGTCATTATTGGCAATAATGATAATGTTAGAGCAGTTCGCATCCAGAGACATGTATTACATGGTATTAGAATACCGACACTCTTGAATCAGACTTTGTATGAGCATCAAGTCTCTTGTGTGAAGAAGAACGGGGAAAGCCTGACAAACAGAAAGCTTCAGTCATCCGTCGTCATCCATGGTTATATAGATTGCATTCTCAGCGTAGCATCGTTACAAGAGATTAATGAGGATGAGAGGCAAATGCGAATCTACCGTTCCAATTGAGAGCGAGATGAAAGGTATCTCAATTCGGCTACTTAGCTAACAGTGAAGTGCGAAATTTGCTATACCGGCGGTCCTCGAATTTAAGTTTTGACTAAGCTCTAAGACAGTTGCTACAAATCCCAGCTAGAGGCCGGATATCCCTGCCCAGTTACAGGATTTTTGCCTCTGTGCTCTTTTGATTCACTTTCCATCCTGCTTGGGGGTTTTCTCGTTGGCCTTTTTCTCCTTGGTCTTTTCCTCCTCCGACGTTTCCTCCTCCGACGTTTCCTTGTTGCGCCTACGCCTCCTTATGAGAAGCTCTTTGAGTCTTGGATCAGTTTTGCTGAAGCCATGGTTAGTCAATGGGGATGAACGATTGGAAGACCCTTGGGAATTGTTGCGACCGCCGACGGTAAAAGTTCGTGTTGGTGTGGGACCTGTTTGAGCGGAGGCCTTGTGTTTCAGTGAGGCCGGTCCTACATCGAGAGGACTGCTAGACTTTATAGGCGCGTAAAGGCCGCTGAGCGCTAAACTCGCAGAACCACTTTGGCCTCTGGCTGTAACGGAAGCAAGACGTCGAGGCTCAGGAGTGGATGTTGGGGATGATTGAGCGGAGGCCTTGCGTTTCCGCGAGGCCTGTCCTACATCGAGAGGACTGCTAGACTTTATAGGCGCGTAAAGGCCGCTGAGCGCTAAACTCGCAGAACCACTTTGGCCTCTGGCTGTATTAGAAGGAGGACCTCGAGGCTTGGGAGTAGATGGCTTTGTCCCACTGCTAAAGACATCCTCAACAGATTCGGTGGCCGCACCACCTGCTGTGGTAACTGTACTCACACCAGCAGGCGATTGATGGAGGATGGAAGACTTCAAGCTCTTGATCTCATCCACAGTGGTTGTCAGTCGCTTTTCTACCTCTTCCAGTTGTTTCTTGTGGCGCTCCTCTTGTTCATCTTTGCGTTTATCCACCTTCGTTGTCAACTCAACCACCGAATTTTCAAGTCGTTCGACCTTCTGGTCTTGGCACGTTAACTCCTTTTTGAGTGCCTTCAGGTCGTCCGATCTTATTTCGTAATCTCCCATGAGGTAGCCAACGTCGGTATTCAGTTCCTTAACTTTTTTGCTTTGATCCTCGAGCCCCTTCTTCAACTCTTCAAGGACATCATCGTTTTTGAAAGATCTCCATGCGCCCATGTAGGAGGGGCCATCACCTTGAGTGTCTCCCTGCGTGGGGCCATCAACCTCCTGAATAGAAGGTCGGATTTCAGTTTCAGGACCGGGTCCCATGATGTCCAGCCACTGATTGAGTCCCAATATAGAGGCAGCATTGCTCAGGATCGGGTTCCATCCCTGGAAGGGACTGCAGAAGCGGTCGACGATCCATTCTGCTCTCCTGGGTATTGCCTCTTCCCAGGGAACTTGCTCTCCATCAACGACAACAACTCGGTCGCCATAGAAGGCATCTATAGCTGTAAGTGCTGCATCTATGGTCTTTCTGGTCATAGGATGATGGCTCCCTTTCTTGTCTGGAGAATCTGCAGCAATATGAAAGTACTGTCGAATCTCTCCGTTGAGCTCAAGCCAAAACTGATAGCCTGGGTCACCCTCCAGTGGATGACTCACTCCTGCCACGAAATCCTTTGGATTATTTGCGACATTTCTGCACCAGAATTCTTCATCCAAAGCATGAAAGGCGTCCTTGATGGTCCAGTTCTTTGAGCGGGTTATGGCTCTGCGACGATAACGTTCCTCTGGTACAGACATGTTGACTTGCCCGTCGGTTACACGATCTTCGCTGTTTCGCTGATGCAAGAGTCGGTGATGGACAAATAGCCACTGCTTTCGGAGTAGGAGCTTTTGAGTGTCACTATCTGAGTCGACGGGACTTTGAATACCGTGTCTGGCTTTCTTATCTGACTCTTACTGAATGGGTTTTTGAGTTCTGCCAGGATTGCGTCAGTCGAGGGCATACTTACAAGAGCCAGATATCTCACCTGTAGGTGCTCTATTGAACATGTAGTCGACGATGGAAAGTGATGATCGAAAACCTTGGCTGGCTGGTTCGTTGAAGGTTCAAGTTTGAAGAAGAGGAGATAACAATACCGGTCAGCGGTATTCTGTCGATGACCGGGAGCCGCGTGACCTTTTGGCAATGTAAGGTAGCTGGCAGCTTCGAACCAGAGATAATAGAAGGAAGAGAAAGTTGAAAGCTGGGATGGCCGTGAAAGGGGTTTTATATCCCGACAAGCCGAACTCTGATGGCCTGAAAACCCAGGAAGAGACATCATACAAGAAAAAGAAGAAGAGGAAGAGGAAGAGGAAGAGGACTTGTAAGTTTAAGTAGTTTCATATGTAATGGCCTGGACAATTGGCATGAGGCTGGATCGAGCCAAGAGCTTTTGGGGGTTTCGAAAACAGTTGGCGAAGATTAAGTGAACCGCGAGAAACCTTACAAATAGACACATATATACTTAGGCATCCCAAAGAGACTTATCTATATAAATATTTGCTTAAGTTCTGAAAAGGACGGGATTCATCAGGAAAATGGGTCTTTTCTACTGCCAAAGAAACGGCAAAACATGAGTGCGCGAGAGGATAGACTTGGTGGAAGCTCAAAGAGAACTGCGCACATCGAACGATGTCGAAGCAAGCAGGGAAATATCGGCTTAGTTGTTCAATAGGCAGGGAAATTGCCGGAGTGGTCCACGATGATTTTATGGCGGCAGGTCCATGTATATCAAGTCCTATTCCAAGGAGTGAAAAGGAGGTCGACAAGGTGTATAATTTCGATTGCATGAATGGGGTCATGGTGGGTATGTTCTCTGGGCATTCCATGATAATTCCGTGATAACAAGCCCCTTCAGGATTTAGAAACAGCCCAGCTGGAAAGACATGACTAATTCGCGGGCTTGATTCTGTGTAGATGGACGAACATGTGGGCACGTAGGCTGACACGGCGGAATGTGAAAGACATAACCAGTACGTCGGCTCGTATGTCTGACGCTTATCATTCACAAAGACCCTTGGTGAGGCTGTCAATATCCTATCAAAGTTCAATTGACGTCATTTGCAAAGGAGATGCTGAAATTCCGTGGAAGTCAGAGGGCAATCTATCATTCCGAAGACTCTTCGCTACGTTTTGAGCCGGTAGAGTCGGTGCTCCAGGAAGGCCGGAGGACAGGGCTGTCTCTACAAACTCGGCCATTTCAGCCATACATAGTATGACGCGGATCAAAACTGCAATCGTCGTAAAAGGATAGTTGTGTAGCGTGCCACAACATCGGAAAAGTTATTAGTCTAACTCTGGTGGCACCTTGGGACTTTGCTAGAGCATCTTTAAGCACAAGGCAACCTTCGTCGCATGCTGTTCCTTTTTATTGATAACGAAGAGAATAACAAGTCTCCCACGGCCTCGGGACCCTTGAAGGTTTAAAATAAACCTCGCGCTTGAACTGCTCTTTGCTGCGAAGAAACTTGATGTGGATAAATATTTGACTCTCCGAGCAGGTTGATGAAGATTGGGCACCTAGGCTCCGGGGTTGGTTTTAGCTATTAAAGAGGTAGGAAACCTTAGGACCTTTATCTAAAGTAATTAAAAGGCTTAGGTAAGTTTAGTACATATCTTTTAGTAGTAGTTTAGACCAGTTTATTCTGGGACCCTGATTTAATAAATGTTAGAAGAAGTTTTATTCCCCCTCGAGGAGGCAAATAGGAAATAGATAGCGCTCTCTCAGGTAGGTCAGTCCTTTCTGGCTCATTGACCGATAGGCAGTGGCTTTGCCTATTAACTAATAGTACTATTAACTAATAGTCTTGAGTAATTAAGCTTCTATCGAGTTGACTGACTGGAGGTTTGGGTATAACAAACAGGAACCTCAATTTCACATATGTGAACAGAAACATATCAAGTCTCCCTGTAACCAGAGGCGTGGTTGTGTCAAAGTTTACCATAGTATGACGATTCGAGGTTCATTTCCGCATCTTTTCGGGTTTCCAGGTTCACATGTCAGGGTTCGTGTAGACGTACTTTGCTTGCAAATTTGGAGAACAAAAAGAATAGAGGGCATTGATTGAGTTTTAAGCTCTATTTTACATGTGACGATGCTACAGGAGAATCTCCCTCATCTCATTCCCGTCGCTCCATTCTGGCGCGACCCCTCGACATGTTCCCTCCGCCTCAAGAGGGAAAAGCGACAACAAATATTCGGTATAGACAGCGACATCCCCAAAGGCCCCCGATATTCTCCGCGCAAGTTGCTGCTGAAGATGTTTAACCGAGGAAGCTCTTGACGAAGGACTGAGTAACATCGCGGAGCTTGGCCTCGGTGTCCTTAGAGATAGCACCCTCCTTGTCAATGGTGGCAAGGAGCTCAGACTCGTTGGTCTTGAGGTGAGCAAGGAAGTCAGACTCCCACTGGAGAATCTTGTTGACGGGGATGGTGTCGAGGTGACCGTTGACTCCAGCGAAGATGAGAGGAACCATCTCGTTAACAGCCCTGTTGAAAAGTTAGGATCATGACAATACTGCAGGGAGGGGTATACTCAAATTGGGCTATACTGCTTTTGTTTTAGAAGCTCAGTAAGCTAGAGAAGAGTTAGCATCTTTATATATTACCATTAGACGAAGGTATTGAACTTACACGCTCACCGCGGTTGAGGGTCTGCTTGGTAGCGGCATCAAGATCAGAACCGAACTGGGCGAAGGCAGCAACCTCACGGTACTGGGCCAAGAAAAGCTTCAGGGAACCGGCGACCTGCTTCATGGCCTTGACCTGGGCAGCAGAACCGACACGAGAGACAGAAAGACCGACGTTGATGGCAGGTCGAATACCCTTGTAGAACAGCTCAGCCTCCAAGAAGATCTGACCATCAGTGATAGAAATGACATTAGTAGGAATGTAGGCAGAGACATCACCACCCTGGGTCTCAATGACGGGAAGGGCAGTCATGGAACCACCACCGAGCTTGTCGTTCATCTTGGCGGCACGCTCGAGCAGACGAGAGTGCAGGTAGAAAACGTCACCGGGGTAAGCCTCACGTCCAGGAGGACGTCGGAGAAGCAGAGACATCTGTCGGTAAGCAACAGCCTGCTTAGAAAGATCGTCATAGATGACGAGAGAGTGCTTGCCGTTGTCACGGAACCACTCACCTAAAATTCTAGTTAGTAATGGAATTTCATAAGCATTTCATAAAACAAGTCAACGCTGAAGAAAACAAAGCACCTGGGGATTCATAACATGTTGATATGAATCTGCTGCGCGTGTGATCGTGTTTGACTGGAAAATGTTCCTGTGACTCTGGGGTAGGAGCCAAAAACTTACCAATGGAGGCACCAGTGAAAGGAGCGAGGTACTGAAGAGGAGCGGCCTCAGAGGCGGTAGCAGCAACGACAATGGAGTACTTCATGGCGTCGTTCTCCTCGAGAGTCTTGACAAGCTGAGCAACGGTGGATCGCTTCTGGCCAACGGCGACATAGATACAGTACAGCTTCTTCTTCTCATCCTGGCCATCGTTCCATCGCTTCTGGTTGAGGATGGTGTCAAGACCGACAGCAGTCTTGCCGGTCTGACGATCACCAATGATCAACTCACGCTGACCTCGGCCGACGGGAACCATGGCGTCGATGGACTTGAGACCAGTCTGGACGGGCTCGTTGACGGACTTTCGGGGCAGAATACCGGGAGCCTTCAGCTGAGCACGGCGCTTCTCCTTGGTGTTGATAGGACCCTTGCCGTCGATAGGGTTACCCAGGGCGTCGACGACACGGCCGAGCATCTCAGGGCCGACGGGGACATCAACCTTGGTGATGTGTTAGTTTCGAGCTGAAAACGGGCAGAGTATGCTTACAATCTCGCCGGTACGCTTGACAGTCTCACCCTCCTTGACGAGACGATCAGAACCGAACAACACAACACCGACCTGGCCGGCCTCAAGGTTCATGCACATTCCCTTGACACCAGAAGCGAACCTATTACATAGTTAGATATGCTATGCATGACGAGACTGTTCCATATTTTGATCAGTACGTACTCGACAAGCTCCTCGGCCTGAACGTTGGCCATACCGTGAACACGGGCGATACCATCACTGTAAGTTGAGTGTTAGTAATGGCTGGTCTCAATTGAGTCATTCCTGGATGTCGAGGCGATTGACAACGTGGTGTTGATGTTTGAGAACATTATGCACCATCTGCGCTTTGCTCCAGTTGCTCCCAACAAAGATCCACATACCCGACGGAGAGGACACGGCCAGTCTCAGCGAGACCGGACTCCTCCTGAACACCACGAATTCGCTGCTCGAGGATGGAAGAAACCTCAGTAGGAGTGGCCTTGGCATCGGAGGCGTAGAATCGAGCGGCGTTGATGGAGGCGGGTGCGGCATTTCGGACCTGGTGGTGAAAAACAAGTTAGCCGAAGCCCGAAAAAGTCCTCGATCGGTCAGCGGCGACAGCGATCCCAAATAGCTCAAAAAAGCTCATGCGAGACTGAAAAGTATAATCCAACTACTCAATTGAGCTCTCTCGATGGGTTGTCGATGGATGCACGATATTTGGAGGCGCTGGTCGATGGCATTGTCGATTCGGGGGCTCGGAAGAGCACGTTTTAACTTACCGCGGCGACCCTGCCAGCAGCAGAGACAGCGCCGACGGCGCGCGTCGACTGTCGAAGGGCGTTCCGGAACATATTAGAGGTATACGGGAGGTTTGGAGATGAAAGGAGAGCAATTGCAGCCGGGTGCAATTGGGAGGAGGGGAGATTGGGGAGTGCGGTGCTGCCTTTACAGGAGAGCAAATGGAGATTTTTGAGGAGGATGGTGATGGAGAGCAGAGTCTGTCTGAGGGATAGTGTGGGGTTCAGCTGCTCCGATGGACCAACCATGATTCAGTGAGCGGTTTTGCCTGGATATTCCGAAGCAGTCTTAACAATTTCTTAGCTTGTTTTTCCAACCCGCTTGAATTTCGGAGCTTCATCTCGCCCACGGAGCTGACGTTCGACAGGATCTGTGAGATCGATAAGAGAGCAGAAAAGATAAAGGTGATCAATTGCTATCATCTCTCACTATTTGTTCCCAATTGACTTCACCTTAGATCCGTGGATCCCCAATAACCTCATTGTGCTCACCAATCGACTTCTTTTATCCCAGTTAACTCCCGTACCGCCGAATGATCGGTATTACCCGGGTAAGTGCCATAAGTTAGTGCCTAAGATATACGGTTGCAAAGGTTGAAGTCGTCTTATGGACCAGGGGGTGCCTCATGGAGCTTTGATCCATCAAGCTGTGGTTTTCGTTGTGGAGCCTTATACATTGGCAATTGGCCCAGCCACGGGGAAGAAGAAAACCTCAGACCTTATTTTTTATTCAAGAAGTCATATAAACTTGTCAAAGGGCATCCTAAGTTCTTACTAATTTACCGAAATCTTTTTAATCAGTTAGGAATACAGAGTAAGGTCCTATCTTTTTTGGCCCCCTCTCCCTGGCTCAGCTACAGATCAACAAAGTGAAAGGCACGCTATCAGAATCAGAGACGTCAGGCCAACGCCTTATTAACTCGTCAAATTGATCAATGGCGAGCTCTGGTAGCTGACAACCGGAGCACGTTTGTTATCTTGTACCCCTGCGTTGGAGGTTTCCGATTCGAAACTAGTCTATGAGGTCTCGAAGCCTTGTTCCTTATGCTTTCCACATTAACTGCTGTGTGTTGACGGAGGTCCCATGTGCCCAACTTCCCAAGGTATCAGATGTCGTTAATCTGGGGTGCATCCACAATAGTACAAACGACCATGATAGCTATGGGTGTCGGGTTTCTTTCTATAAGGCTTCCCAGGTGTTAAAAGAATTTGTAATGTCATATTTGACCGCCCAGCCATTGAAGATTCCCAGATGCCATAGGCTATTCTCAACCTACCTCAGCCATTTTGTCTCTGAAGATTGAGGTCTTGTTTCTTACCACCAATGGACCATGCCTTCATAGGAATGTTTCCCCTTCCTGCAACTGGAGAAGCATCGTGAGCTTGATACCTTTTACGAAACAGAATTATCTTGGAATATGAGAGCCAGTACCTCACAGTCCTGTCGCTAGGGGCGTTTGCTGAGAGATGACGATACCTCAAAAAGTGGACAGGGAACGATAGTGAAATCTTGGCGCAGAGTTGACCGTTTCGCACCCAAGTTTGACAATCCATAGCCAAATAGCCCCGACATCATGCGGTATCCGCTTCGGAAGTATTGCGATACATTCAAGTCACATGCGAGATGGTCAATTACTCCTTCGTTAACAATCAATGATCGATCGGTGGGCGTACAACATCACGAGCAATGAGTCAGAATATAGTAGTCACACACAGGTCAGGAGCATTGAAATTGCTCCAAAGAGGAGAAATCATCGAGGATACAAGTGATGCACCAAAGTCCCCGAAGGACATGTTTATAACGTCTCGCGTAGACGTAAACAGACGAGAGGCCAAGCAGACAAAGTACCAGTGATCTGACGATTGATGGCAATGTCACATTCATAGTGAATATCGGAAAGCCGGCAGAGCGCCGGTCGGTCTCTCAGGCCGTGGCTCGACTGAAAATTTCAAGTCAAGCTGATGCAGCAAAGGCAACAGAAAATACATGTCCCATGTGAGTTTTCCCCTTAATGTTCGCCGTGACCATCCGTAAATTCAAACAACCAATTTTTTTTCAACCGTTTATCGGACAATGCCATCGAAGCGAGACTTGAACCACTTGACGGTCTCCTCGCGCTTGATGCGGTGGCTGGCACCGATGCGGGACTTGGTTCGGCGGCGGCGGGTGACGCGCTCACCAGGTCGGGTCATACAGCAGTAGAAGTCCATGCCGTAGATACCAATAGAGGGGTCGTACTTGATACCAAGATCGATGTGCTCGCTGATACCGAAGCCGAAGTTGCCAGTCTCGGAGAAGTTGCGCTTGCGAAGCTCGTACTCCTTGACCTTGAGACCACGCTCAAGAATCTCCTCAGCCTTTTGGATGTTAGCATCTCTGCACTTTGGCATTTCCAATGTTCATGTATGAATTTACCTTAGGGCCTCGGACGGTAACGTGGACAGCAATCTTTTCGTTACGTCGAATACCGAAGGTTCGGACGGTGTAGCGAGCCTTGCCTTTAAAATTTTCAGTCAGATGGAATTGCATCGCCATGTTCAAAATTAGCAGACTTACTGTAGACGGGGGTCTGACCAGAAAGCTGCTCCAGCACCTTGGCGGCACGGGTAAGTCTGTCACCAGACTCTCCGACGGAGATGTTCAGAACGAGCTTCTGAATCTTCAGCTCCCGCATGGGGTTGTTTGCCTTCTCGGAAGCCATGGCTGCTGTTTTTAGTCGACCTGGTGATGGAGTTGTCGAAGATCGCGAAGGTTGCAAGAGTAATTTTTCAGTTTTTGTGAGCTCGTAATTATTTGAGGGTTAAGCTAGTTGGTGCCCCAAGTGGGGCTGGCGTCGTCACAAGTGGCCTAGTGCGAAATGGTACTTTGTCGGTGTACCTTTCAGCCTTCCGCATCAGGCTCCGCAGATTTTGGACCTCATAACTCACCTTCAGAGCTCCAGGCATTGAAGGTTGTTACGATCGCGCGCAAAGACACGTCGATCTAACATCAATTTTTGAAACACAGAGAAACTGCCACAGCACGCTCTCAAAACACAGCCAAAATGTCGAACAAACAAGGAAAGATGGTTTGTCTACCCCCCTACTCTTACGCGTTTCGAGCGTGCTTGATCTTGATATGCTAACCAGTTCCCTTTCTCAGGCCGGTTACGTACGTATACCCCAACGCGCATGCGATTCGAATGCTACGTCTTTGCGATGGTTCAAACAAGCTGACTAGAACGGAACAGATCAACTGGCGGATGCGGGTTACTCTTAACGATGGAAGGGCAATGACCGGTCAGATGCTTGCCTTCGACAAGGTACAACATCTCCAGCCATTATTGTTGAGATCAAGGCTGACTAGGATTTAGCACATGAACCTTGTACTTGCGGATACGGAAGAGTTTCGACGCGTGAAGCGCAAGCAAAATAAGCCATCTGCCCCTGGCGCAAGCGGTTCGGCCACCCAGACCATCGAGTCAGAGGAGAAGCGAACTCTTGGCCTCACGATCGTTCGAGGCGCTCATATTATCTCCCTCTCCGTGGAGTCGCCTCCTCCCGCCGATCCTAGTGCGCGACTAGGCAAGAGTGCTCCTGGTGGAATCCCTTCTGCCTTGGCTGCTGGCCCTGGTGTTGCTCGTCCTGCTGGACGAGGAGCTGCACCTCCCTCCCTCGCAGTATGTGTTTCTTTCCCCCTGAAGCTGCCTGATTAACTGCTAATATTGATAAGGGTCCTGCTGCTGGTGTCGGTGGTGCTCCCCCGCCTGGTTTCCCCGGTTTCCCTGGTGCTCCTGGGTTTCCCGGCCGTGGTGGTAAGTTCAAGTCGTCCCGATATCCTCGAAGAGTCTCTAACAGTCTCCAAGCCCCTCCTCCTGGCTTTCCTGGAAACTTCCCTCCTCCAGCTGGTTTCCCTGGAGGCGCTCAATTCCCTCCTCCCGGGTTCAACCCTGGTGGTCCCCCACCGCCTGGATTTCAGCCTCCTCCCCGAAGATAGGTTATGTAGGCACTGGTTACTTCGGGCAAATTCTAATAGCCTGTGAGGAGGCTTCGATATTGTAACTAAGACTGAGAATGTCTTTTCTGCTCGTCGAATCAAGACGTCACGTTGGAATACATGTGGGGATTATGAGCTTGGCACAAAAATGTATGTGAATTTCTTTATGGCACTTTACCGTCCTCCATCAATGTTAACAAGCTTGCCAAGACGTTATACGGAGCACTTGAGGCGCATGATGGTGTATTGGGCTAGAAGTGAATTGTTGTTTTATAGGATAATAGGCCGCTCCAAGACTATGGGTTCGTGTTGTCAAATCACCACAGTACATTTCGTGTCAACAGTTTATGAGCAAGCGTGAGCGGGATGCCTTTGCTAATATGTTTGGTGTCCCTGTCATTTGTTTACCCACGTGCTCAAAGAAGATATGAACTACTTAACTGTGCTAGTTTGCGAATGGTATCAAGGTCGTAATCAAGTCTAGAATTTCGCAAGGGTGGTAGAATTGTAAGCTGCTATTCGGCTGAGCACCGCTTCGTCTAAAAGATAGGTCGAGAGCCATATCTCACTGCGGACAATGCCATGTGCGACCCCTCAGCCCAGAACGAGTGACGGAGGCGTAAGCCGTCTTTGGTGTTGAAAATGGAAGCCATTGGTATATCTTGTTGACCTAAATTTCCCCGAAGAGAACTCATTGCCGATGGTCAATAAGATGCCAAGCTTCCCATACAGGAAGTCTAAATGAGCATGGCAACATGTCAAGTCACTAACAAGGTCCAAGTATCTCAACTTCTTGATACTCTCCTGACCCTTGGATTTAGTTCGCTTTCTGACGATAAATGTGGGATATTTTCCGAATCTCATCCATATTCTAGCACCACTTCGGCAAATGAAATCAGGAAACTGGCAATTCGGTCACATTTTTCTGAGTAAATCGCCTTTTCGTCTTATTAGCCAGGTCTGTGGCCTCTAAATACCGGTGGCACATGGCATCGGGTCAGTCAGAAAAACGCCTTACGTACTAACACTTCAAACTTTGATACTCTCAGGATCCATCATTAGCCCAGAGGTTGGGAGAGAACTTAGCAAATCGGTTTAATTCTTCTAATCAAAATGAACCGTACGTCATGAAAAGGGATCAAACAGCTGAAAATATTATCCAACCTGATTATCCATATCATTCCTTTGGTTGTCACTGACATACATCGAGGTCGAGTTACTATCCATGAGAACAAATTCGGGATAGTGTAAGCCACATGATAATATGCAGAGAGTTCGAGTTCATTCAAGTCCGAAACCTGATAAGGCTTACTATTTGTGCGATATGATATGCGTCTCTTCGGGGCGATATAGGTTTGCGCAGTGAATCTTTGTTGTCATTGCTTTACGTATATTCCTGAGAAACTACTTAGGGACCAGCTCCCATCAACTCATTATAATCGTGTGCTCGCCGATACTGACCCAACTCCGAGAGCGCCCAATAAACCCAGCCCTGATCCATCCCGAGTTCTCGACTTTAGATACCAACAGCATGGCTGAAGACCTTGGCCGCCAACTGGCTGAGCAGCCTTGACTTGTCGTCCTGGGGAAGCTCCTGGAAGACAGCGTAGACACTCTTACCCTTCGCATCGCGAACAGCTCCTAGTCTGTTACCCGCAACGGCTCCTGCGACAAGACCTGGCACATTGGCTACGATGAACCCTAGAGCGCCGCCGCTGACACCACCCACCATACTCCAGAACTTGCCCGTGGGGTGGTTATCCCTGCCCTCGGCCATGCCCTCCTCGCGCATCATCTCCTCGAACACATCACTAAACTGCGCATTTTCGGTTTGCTCGCGATCCTGGGCAGGGGCTTGGCCTTGGTTGGTAAAGAAGTTCCATGCCCAGGAATAAGGGCTCTGTCGCGGCGCGGCGCCATCCTCAGTTTCCGTCTCGGGAATGTCCTCGAAGGGATCTGAAGGGGTGCTAGTATTGAAGAGTTTGCGCTGAGCATCATACTCGCGACGGCGTACAGGTTCAGAAAGTGTGTAATACGCGTCGTTGACGAGCTGAAACTTTCGTGTCCGTTCGGCTCGCTCTGGGGAGTCATTAGAGACGCGGTCAGGGTGCGTCTTTAGGGCAGCGCTGGTTACCGGGGTTAGTTGTGTCGCAAGTCAAGACTATACACAAAAGTGACATACCGCTTGTAAGCATCTCGGATTTGCTGAGTGGTCGCAGTATCAGAAACCTCGAGAATGGCATCTACAGAAAGTTCCAGTCAGTTTTCACTCCGGCGCATTGACATGTGGTGGGGTCATGATGGCAGCTTACAGTAGTTCGGGGGGACTCCAGCAGTCATGATGAGTTCATGTAATACAAAGAGGTCTTTACAAGAGATAATAAAACTAGAGTCGATTCTAACGAGCGAAAGGTCTACAATTTTCCTCGCGAGGATATGCCAAGTCGCAGGTGATAGGTTGGTATGTAATGCGAGTGTTGTTGAATCAAGGCCGTCGACGACTATCCCAGGGCGGAAGTGTCAACGTCATTGTGGCGGTGCCTTCGCCAATGTGGCGATCCAATCAAATCAACTACTTCAACATCAATTCGCTTCATGGACCGTTAGGTATCTCAAACTAGAACTCCAACCAATGTCTTCTCAAAGGAAGATATGAAATACTCCTAATCATCGCTGTGCTTTTCTTTCGTTGCAGACCAGAAACTTTACTCACTGAGTAACTGCGGTGGAAATTATTCATGAATGAATCATATGCCAATCCTCGACACCCCCTGTATCTTATGCCATGACGCCCAAAACCTAATAGCTTTGTTCCAAACCACCCCATTTTTTATACATAACTCCGAAACGGTACATTGATGATAATGATTATTCGACATCCTGCTCCAAGTATCTCTGTGCTCTTGATAACGCATCAGCTGTGATCTCGTTGGCATCTGCTTGTCGACCAGCTTTCTGGTAATGCGCTGCCAGCACCCACATATCACGGATGACCCGTAGGTTGTTGTTCGCGCCGTGTGCTACCTCTCTTTTAGAAATGGCATGCCGTAGGTTCTGTTCCGCCATGTCCCATTCCTGCCTCGATTCCTGTACACGAGCCAACATCTTGCATGCGTATGCGTGAAATCGATCGTTGGATCTGGGTCCTTGTTCGGTTCTGGTAAGATCGAGTAAATTGATGGCTAGCTCCTCAGCCTTCTTCTTGTCACCAACATCCATCTGTGTGAACTCAAGTCGCAACGCTTCGACTCGTAACTGATCCGCATCGAGTGCAGATGATGTCTGACTCTGTGCCTCAGCCATCCTTTCCAGGGCCTGGTACATCGCATCTTGCCGCTTGCCAAGTTCGCTGTCCCTACGGAGGCGTGTCCTCCCATCCCAAATTAGTTGTTCGTAAAGCCAGAGTCGATGGGCATCCGATGTCTCGATATGCTGGCCCAAGAGATTAACATTCCGTAGCCAGGCTTGGCGCAACAAATGACACAAGTATTTCCTTCCCTCATCTGATTGATAATCGCAGATACGAAGCTGTTGGAGAATAAGGAGGAGCGGGTGTTGAGCAGGCAGCTGTCGTTTCGCGAGTATTGTAGCATGATCCAAGAAAAGGGCCAAAAGCCGAAGATGTCCTCGGTCCACCATATCGTAGATTGTATCTAGTACATGCCAGATAAGGTCGGGGTGATCATCGCTCAACACAAATTCGAGCACATAAAACCCTCGGCGTGC